CTTTATATGGTATGTTCCCTTTAAAATAAAAAAATAAAAATCTAGTCAAGGGATGTTGTTAATACCGTTTTGAACTTATTAAAGTTTAAGAGAGTGATAAAGTTCTGTTCCGGGGGGACTTCAATAAACTTCTCACTGAAAGTAAAAGAAAAGGATTTTCTGGGGAAAAAATACAGGAAAAAAAGGGGCTTTTAAGTAAGACTGCATTCTTTGTCAAGGCACCCTGTATTCCAAACCCTGTCCCTGTCCTTTAGTAGTTGCTTGGGAGCCTAGGGGGTGGGGGACTAGGGTGTTAACTGCCACAGATTCCCACGTCAGCAGTTGGAAACCACCAGCTGCTTCTTGGGGGAAAGAAGAGGCTTTCTACTATGTAGTTAGGTTAAAACAGAATGCTGATCATTTGATCTCCTTTTGGACCCATTTTAAAGTTGTTTCAGTTGTTAATGTTTTCTGCTTTCTTTTTGATTGAGGCTTTTCTGTGCTTTTGTCTAGTCACTGCTTCCTGTTTGTGTTTTGGATGATTTTCTGTATATCAAATTCAGAACGGGAAAGCCTAGAGAGACAATAACTGGATTGCTAAATGCCTAGGGACATGGCAGGGGAGGATGGGGGGAAATGGGAAGCTAATAAAAATGAATACCAGAAGAAAATGTTCTGAAAATGATTGTGGTGGCTTGGGGCAAGGCAGATGATAATCCCTGTCCCTTTACAGGTAAGGCCAGCAATGAACCTATGGCCCAAGTACTCACACGTGTTTGTGTTGTGCTTTGCACTTCACTGGGCGTTTCACCCAGATTGTCACATGTAAAGACGGTCCTCCACAGCGCTATATTTAAATTCAGAACACTCAAGTTTCAATTTAAAAATTGAAAGCAATTAGTCACCCCATATACAGTGAGGGGCGTTCACTGTGCTGTTTGTCGCAGAAGAAAATGGAAAACGGTCTAAATGTTCATCAACAGATTGTTAGTTCTACAAATTGTAAGTTATCTGGGTAATGAAATTGTACACAGAAGTTTGAAACACAAAAATGTATTTGGTAACATGAAAAGTCAAAACCAACTATAATCTCTTATTGAGTAAAAATAAGAATTAAAGATGAGTACTTCTGAAAAGTAAGCTGGGTTAGTTTTAATTTTATAATGTGATTTTTAACGAGAACATTATTAAAAAATTTTAATATATAAAGATAGAATCAGACATCTGGAAAGCTTAAAAACAAGCAAAAAAATCCAACAGTAAACATAATGTAGGAAATATGCCCTTGGTGGTATAATGGTTACATGTTGGGGTGTGGAATCTGAAAGATCAGCAGTTCAAAACCTACAGGTGCTCTACAGAAGAAAGGTGAGGATTTCTTCTCCCAGAAAGAATTACAGTCTTAGAAACCCACTGTGACAGTTCTACCCTGTACTATACGGTTACTATGAGTCGATATTGACTTGATGGCTGAGGTAGTTAGTGTATTGTGCCAACCTGGCCGATAAACACATGTGGGGTAATTGAAGGGCAGAGGGATAAACAGGTCAGTAAGCCTCACCTTTCTAGTTCTCGGGTTTCTTGCTTTGTGATGGTCGGACCAGGGTGCAGCTGCCTTAGCCAGCTCCCTGCTTCAGCTGGCAAGGCTCACTTCCTGTGAGACATCCCCAAAGAGAAGCCACAAGGACCTACCCCGATGCAGCCCTGGGTGCTGGAGCAGCCTTGTGGAGACCCTGCCAGCGCTGAGATGCTTACACGTTCACTGATTTGGCTTTTCTCCTGCAGTCGGCGTCATAGTGTGTGTTTTGTGAGTTGGAGGAGGACTTTGTGGATTGGTGTCAGGGTGTCAGACATAGGGGCTAATGTTGGGCTTGTGGGCTTGGGCAGCACTGGGTTGGGATGTTTTCTTGACGTGCACTTAACCTGGATATAAAACTCTCTCTTATACATGAGTTTCTGTGGATTTGTTTCTCTAAAGTACCAAGACTAACAGAATGGCAGAGTTTTTGTTTTGTTTTTGTTTTATTGCCTTCTTTGGCCAACTACTGCCTGCCTCAGTGCTTGGCACATTGTAGGTGCTAAGTATTTTCTTATGGAATGATTGAGTAAGGACTGGGAGCCCTGCTTACAATTTAGCAAAGGGGAGTACATAAAAAACATTTAATTTTCTAATCCTAATATTGAGTTAGTGGGCTAATGGTGATTTTAACATGGCCATGTTGACAGGGTTAACCTATGCTCAAGAGACTGGCTCTTTGAAGTCAACTCACCAAAAATAATTTGGCAATGGAAGACAGTTCTTGATTGTGTGTGTGTGTGTATAATTAAGCATCTCTTATAGTATTGATCTGTGGGTTTGGAAGTCACAGACCCATCAAGAGGAGAGAATCTCTGTGAGTGTGCGCATGGCTCAGTCATCTCTGATCTTCACCGTCAGCAACATAGCCCTAGCGAGGCGTGCAGACGGACTGAGCACATCCCGAGACAGCGCTTCTGCTTGTTCTTGGGGCATTCTTTACTGCTGAGCTTTCACTACCAGAAAGTCCCTTATCGTACCGCGCCAGGACCTGCCTCTTTCTAAACTGCCCCATAGGCTCCAGTTGTGTCCTAGAACCACACAAGTCGAAGCAGCACTGCCCAGTGGCTGGGAGCTTAGCTTCTGGAATGCTAGACGCCTGCCTCGACATCCCATGTTTTAGATGTAGGTTCTGTGTGACTCTCAGACAGCTGACCACCTCTCTGAAGCCCCAAGCTTCTGCGTTGTGAGATGAAGATACTCACAGCTCCGACCTCGTGCATTCACTTTAAGAAAATGCAAACTGCCGTCAGAAGGTGTGGCACAGAATGACGCCATGACACGGGTTTCTAGTCATTTCCCATTAACGATATGATCGGAGCGGTCAGAAAAGTTGCTCCAGACAGCCATGCTACATGATGAGGCGTCTCGGGCAGTGAATTGTGTGCCTCAGGCCCTTCGTTTCAACTGATTCCAGTGTCTCCTCTCTGTTTTCTTCACTGGAAGCAAATGTGAAGAACACTGTAGGTGGGGGGAGGGAAATCGCACAGCACTCATCAGACACCAGTAAAAAGGTGGTATGTTCACGATTCTAGACACTAACTCACGAAGCAAACTTCAGGTGTTTGAGAATTCCACTCACCTCCGGTGGAACACAAGGAAACAGCTCACTCAGGGCGTCTCAAAACTTGTCTCCTTGACGTCTCCTAATACTCACTTCACTACCAGGAAACACAGGCGCCTTTTCTAACCGGCCTGAAACTTCTCTCAGGGCTATTGACTACCTATTGGTCTAGATTTGATTTTGCATTACCACTCAAGATAGAAAATGTAAATCCAGGAATGATATGTGGTGTATAAAGTGATGGAATGATACATAAACTACGTGGGGTGAGTTTCAGACCCAGAAGGTAACAGAGAGCCTCCAGGGTTCCACCAGTCTCTATCTGACCAGAAAGCCTAGGTTTTGTTTTGCTTTTATGATTTTTAAGTTTTGTTCCATATTTTTCTCCCATTCTATCCAAGATCTTTAATTGGGATCCCTTTTAGAGGGCTTGGTAGTGCTACCTGGGCACCATCTAGTTCTTGGGGTGTATAAATATATATGGGTGAGTACTCTGTATGCATATATTCACCATACACAGCTACACTGCATCTTATGAAGTTTAGTAGACTTGGAGAGTTAGGATGTAAGTCTAATCTCGAGCTAGTAACTGACTCACTGTGTGACCGGGTAGTCCTTTCCCTCTGAGGTTAAGATCTTGATGTCCTCATCTATACAGTGGCTCCAAATGATGGTTCTTCCATTATGTTCTAAGGAGCTCTAGACCAGAGGTTCTCAACCTCCCTAATGCCGTGACCCTTTCATACAGTTCCTCATGTGGTGGTGACCCCCAACCATAAAATTATCTTCGTTGCTATTTCATAACTGGAATTTTACTACTGTTATGAATCATACGACACCTGTGAAAAAGTCCTTCTACCCCTGAAGGGGTCGCAACTCACAGGTTGAGAAGTGTTGCTCTAGACTATACAGCAGAGCTGGAATTGCTTTGTTTGGGCTCCAGGATTCCATCAAGTTTCAAGGAGCAACATTATTTTTTAAAAATCTGTTACATATGTATATATATATATATATATATATATATATATATCCATCTATATATATATTCATAGTTTCTACATAATTCATTTGAAACTTTTTTCAACAAAAAATATTTGAAAATCACCAAATTAGGTGAAGCTCAAGGTTCCCACTAGAACATGTTTTGTTTTTAAAATTTTTTATGGTGAATTGGGTGAAAATTTACAGAGCAAATCAGTTTTACATTCAACAATTTCTACACATTTTGTTTCATGTCATTGATTGCAATCAGTGCAATATCTATCATCCCACTTCTACCGTGGGTTCCCCATGTCCAGTTCACCTTCTCTCCTAACCTTCCCTGCCTTCTGAGCTTTCTTCTTGGGCAACTGCTGCCCAATTGATCGCAGAGCGTATAACGTCCTAGTGTATTGTTCACAGAAGAGTGCTATGCATTGTTTGGGCTGAGTGTTGTTCCAGATAGGAAGGGTAAGAAAGAGAAGTCTCAAGGGCTCCACTCGTCTCTGTCCGAGCAGAAAGCCTAGGTTTTGACTGTTCTTTATTATTTTGAGTTTTGTTACACATTGTTCTCCCATCCTATCCAAGACCTTTAACTGTGATCCCTTTTAGAGTGGTTAGTAGCGCTCACAGGGCACCATCTAAATCTTGTGGTCTCAGGGTCACGGTGCTGAGCAAAACCTCTGTCCTTCAAAAAGTGGGAAGGAGCAAAAGAAAGGGGAGGTGAGGAAGGGGAGGGGGAATAAAATGAAAAGGGCCAAATATTAACTCCACTGTGTTACTGGACATAATTAGGGCATACGGTATTCCAATTAATTATGTTTACTCATATTTTTCATCAATATTACATAGCAATATAATAATACCATGAAAAAAAGAAGACTTTTATTATTCAATTGGTACTCAATGCTCAGGACATTTAAAATTACCTCCTCCCCACCCCATACCTTGTTTCCCATCCTCATGCTTAGGTCTTTAAGAGAACATCGATAGAGTTCCAAGTCAATGGATCGCCTCTTCCAGAAGCAGTCTAAAACATGAAAAGCAGATGAACAAAGGCATTCTTGAACACAGCTTGGGAGTCCAGGTATAGTCCTATTGCTAGTGGAACAGTATCCAATGCCCCTCTTCTCGGCAGCTCTCCTCAAAGACTCGCACTGGCAGCAGCAACCTAAGCAGGGCAAGTCCCAGAGGGGAGCAGTGCCTTTACTTCAGAAAAAAGGCAAGTTCCTGAAAGAAGCCTGATGGAATCACACCTCAAAGCTTATCCCTACCTGGCGACTGTGTGGGTGGGGGTGGAGAGGAAGAACAAATAAGGGGGGAGGATTTATAGGAGAGGACTAGTAGGGTCATGAGGGGGACGTGTTTGATAGAAGAGGTGCCTTTGGATCTCTGTGGTCACTGGGCGCACAGCTGTGGAGCCAGCTGCATCAACAGAACCACAGTGCCCTGCACGTCAGGGTGGAGCTCCCTCTGCAGAGACAGCAGGGTGCAGTGGAAAGAGGACTGGACTTGGAATCAGAAGACTTAGGTGTGAGTCCCAGGCCAGCCAGGATGCTCCATCTCTCTGAATTTCTATTTCCCTAATTGAAAAATAAGAAAAACAATGCCCACTGGACTTCTCTCACAGGAATGTTGTATAGTTTAAATAAAATGGGATTCAAAAAGCATTTGGTAAATCAGAAAACCCCATAATGATGCATATAGTGTTTAATAGTTCGTGAGATAGTTGTCTAGATATGATCCTTTAAAAAAAATTCCCTAGGCTTGCTAAGATCACCTCCCTAAGATAGAAATATAAAAGGCTAGTGATGTATCAAGTAAAATGAAGTATACTTCACATAATTTTTCAATCTCTTAATTATAAAAACCATCATATCTGATAGCCATATAAAGAAACTACATATAAAATTACAAAGATCAAGTTACACATGATGAAATCTCACATATTATAAAATCTAATTTTATATGGTTTCCCAAAAAAAAGGATGACTATATTATTCTTAAGAGAACTACTCTAGTAGTAATTGGTCTTATAAATGCATATAGTTGTATCAAATAATTTTTTTTAAATAGCCTAAATCCAGAGTCCCTATTCATGACGTCTATAAGTGGCATTTGCTTTATTCCTATTTTAGGCTGGTAGTATCTCAGAGTGGAGTTCTATGTGTCATCCATGGAGTTGGAGATTCCAGAAGACCGAGTTTCCTAGAGGAATCCATCAGCTCTTCTGGCTGGGAAGTTCTCTGGAACAATCTTCTTCATTCTCCTCTGAGCATGACAGATTCAGGGCACTTGTCACAGGATGGATCCAGGATGTGGTCTGGGTTACATGACTTGGGAAACACAAGGAATAGAATTAGAATCCACAAGATTGTCCATTTCCCCATCCACGTAGGTACCATCCTTGCGACATTGCTTTCATTCTACAACAGCCCACTGTCACCAGACAACAGTGTAACGAGACTGGATCCAATAGAGTTTTACAAGTCTTTAAACACTGCCAATGAAGACCATTATTTCCACCCTTTGGTAAAAAGGAAGAATGTTTTATCTCTCACCCCTCACTTTCCCTTCCCTGACATGCAGTCAATCAAGTCCTGTGACTGTCTTGCAGAATCATCTCTGGACTCTGTCTCCCCCTCTCCTTTTCCATTGCTAGGGCCTGGATTACTGAACGAGATTCTCTCTGCCTCTGTTCTAGCTCTTTCTAATTCATTCTCTGCTCCAGTCAAGAGATATTTCTAAGCCAAAACTTCAGCACCAACCAATGCCTTCCTGGACTAAGTATATACTTTATCACTGAAAATGCCTTGGTTCGTTACCTGCCAAACCAATACTTTCTCCTGTGCTACAATCATCTCTCCCATCTCACTTATCTAGGCAATTCATACTGATTCTTCTAAAGAACCAAATCTCCCCCCAAATGCTTCCATTCTGAGATCACATTCTTAGCTCCTCTTCTGCTATATTACAGTACATGTTCTTACTACATGAGGGAGCCCTGTGAGGGCAGCAACTAGGCTGAGTTCCCAATTTATCTGCCTACTGTGTTCTCAGAATAAATAACCACCTTCTGGTTGGCCACTCAACAATATTAACATAACATTTTTTGGACCACCTACGATGTGTGTCACTGTAGAACACTGGGACCTTCTTATAAGGACTGGGGGAGTACAGGAGGCTTGACTCAAACCTTTAACAGTTTGCCCAATTTTTTGAGTGAATATTTTGATTATATTTGTAGAGTGCCTGGTAGGGTTCAATCAAGTGCAATGTAGCCAAGAGGAAGTACAGAGAGCTGAATGAAGGTCGAACATGATAGTTGGACATGAGGAAAGTAAAAGTAAATAAAGGAAAGAACTAGGAGGCAAAAGATATTTATGGAGGTATAAACATAGGCATGTACAGGTGTAAATATATTAATATATAATGATAGGGATAAAGGTCTATGTACATATATTTATAGGTTCAGTATTAAGGTAGCAGATGGACATTGGACCTCTACTCACATCCTCCCTCAATGCAAGAACACTTTGTTCTAATAACCTGGTATTCTGTGATGCTCACCTTCCCGACATGATTGCTGAAGACAAAATGGGTGCAACAGCTAATGTAGTGAAGAAAGCTGATGGTGCCCAGCTATTACAAGATACAGTGTGTGGAGTCTTAAAGGCTTGAATTTAAACAAGCAGCCATCTAGCAGGGAAGCAACAAAGCCTACATGGAAGATGCACACCAACATGTGATCACAGTGCAAATGGGATCAGGTATCAGGCATCAGAAGACCCAAAACACACAATCATTTCAATGCGAATGAGGGGGGTCAAGGCAGAGACTCAATGCCCATTTGTAGACAATTGGACATCCCATCACAGATGGGTCACAAAGAAGGGATAAGGCAGCTAGTGTGCAGAATAGCACGGACAAAACACACAACATTCTTCTAGCTCTTCATTCAACATTCTTCTAGTCCTCCTACTATCATGACCCCAGTTCTATCTTACAAATCTGGCTAGACCAGAGCATGCACACTGCTAAATATAAGAGCTCTCGACACCTAGAATCCAGGACAGATAAAGCTTTTAGGACCAAGATAGAGAGTAGCTATACCATGAGGTTAGGGGGAAGGTGGGGAGAGAAGAGGGAGAAAGGGGGAACCAATTGCAATGATCTACGTACAACCTCTCCCCATCCCCCAGGGGAATGAACATCAGAAACATGGGTGAAGGGAGTCAGCAAACGATGTAAAATATGAAAATAAAAATAGTTTATAAATTATCCAGGGTTTACAAGGGTGGAAGGTTAGGGGAGGGAGGGGAAAAAAGACACCAAAAGCTCAATAGAAAGAAAATGTTTGTGAAATGATGATGGCAGCACATGCACAAACGTGCATGATACAATGGATGTATGGATTGTTATAAGAGCCGAAAGAGCCCCCAGTAAAATGATTTTTTTAAAAGCATGTTCTCAATGCTTTTGCAACTGAGCTGACTCTGTTGCAAGCAAGGGAAGACTGAACAGAGATGATCAGAGTGAGTGAGAGAGAGAGAGAGAAAGAGGTTCTAAAACATACCAATGGTGCTTTTCATTAAACATCGGTTACTTGTGGGAGGACAGAAAGCAGCCGGAGCAAAACAGCAAGAGTGACTCTCTGCCCACACTGCCTTTGTGAGCACGAGAAGTCATTCATGTTTTTGGACAGAAGCAGAATATGATGTTTGCATGTTCAAATGAACAAATGGATGGATGAAAGGAGCCATTGATAAATCCCTCTGAGCTGTAGCATCTCTTCTATCAAATAGGACAGCAACACAGCGCTTCTGTCGGGTCTCTGCCTTGCCCTGCATTTTGTAGTCTTCTCTAATTTCATTTAGTTGATTCACTGCTAACATTCACCTGTAAGAGCGGTCCTCAGCCAACCACACAGGCAGAATGAATGCACATTCTTGGATTTTCAAGTGACCCCATGCTCCAAGTCCAGGGCCCTCCTCCTGACCATCAGACAGGATGTGATCTACCTCGGGAAGGGCTGTGGGCTGTGCTTCCAGTCCTCTCGTCAGGCCACTATGTAGGAAGGGCCTTCTGCATGTGTTCCTTCCCCGGATTCGGATGGTTGGCTTTGCCTCGTCTCAACCCTAGTTTATCCTTCTTCCCCAGAGCGTGTTCCAGCCCACTTAGCTGGGGGCTCTGGTCACCTTTCACCGGGATGAATTTCCGGAATCCATCTCCAGGTGGAAAGCATCTGAATGACCGACAAGCTGCTTTTGGAATCAGGATGAAGATTCGCTTCTTCTCCTTGGATGCTCTAGTTCTCACTCACCTCACTCCCTCATCTGGGCTCGCTCAGTCCCCCCAGCTCCTGCCCTCGGAAGTCGCATCATACGAACAGAGCAAAAGAGTTTACAAACAAGGATCATGTAAGAGTTGGATCTGACTGTATCTCCTACTTTAGAGAAAAGCATTTTCCAAAGCCTGTTACGACGATGGTTAATGAACGTTGCACGGAGACTAAGCGTCTGCGGTCAAAGAAGTTGGAGGTGTGCCGGGTTAAGCTCACTTCCGTTGGTTTCAAGAGAGCAGCAGGTCTCCGGACCTTACCATCCTTCTGAGCTCTGACCCTCCAAGAGTTTGCGACAGACAGACTCTCCACGTGCCCCCCTTCCAGACACTTCAAGAGGCCAGTGTTGCAGAGAACACAATTTGGAGAAGATCAGCAAAATACATGCCCTCTCTTGGCTATTGATAACAATAATTGAAAATGTTGAATTTAGTACAAACGGCCAGTTACTTCTACTGTCTATCGCTACTAGATTTGGCTTGTTTTCAATCCTACATTCTAAATCTTCTTTATATTCAATTAAGTTCAACCCCTCTGTTTAAATATTAAAAATGCTTCTTTCTATGAAAGAACATTACTGATGGTTTCATGACGACGAGATCAAACAGCTCAACCTATGAAAGAATCAAAGTGGAGGTGGCAAGGACCAAAAACCCTCAGCGATTCTGAGCTTCAGAGTGTGTTTCTGTGGCACAAAGAGCCTTCATCCTTTTGACAGTAATCCACATTACTATTATCTCTTCAAAATGGTTTAATGGGATTTCTTATTACGGAGGCTAAACTTACTAAAGCACTTGATTCTGCACAGGTAAACTTCATTTCCAGGCTTTTATAAAACTGGAAATTTGCCTAAGTTGAAAGTGGTTTAAAAGAAACCCTAATGAGTGTAACATAAGAGGGCTGGAATGCACTGCAAGGTGAAATGAGGACACCTTTTCCCGGGGAAAATTAAATGTTTAAGACAACAGCTAAAAGCAAAAGCCTGAGGAGATGGTTTTGCTTATTTAAAACTCTAGGTCTATACATTTTCTTTTTATCAGAACATTTACAATATTTTATTCCAAAGAAGAGATTCTAATCTGAGTGATTTAAATCTGCCCTCCCCAGTGACAGTCCCTCCTGGGGAAAGTGGAGTGAAGAACACAGGAACAACATTCAAGGGATAAGGGTGCGCACAGCGTGTTTTCCGATTTGGCTTTTAAAATTCTCATCATTAAAATATTATCATTTCCCATCTATGGCTAGTCTGTTAGACTGATTATTTAAAATAAACAAAAAGCAAATTGTCTAAAAATATGCAGTCACAGACTATGAACAATAAGTATTAGAAAGTTCTACCAGAAAGTTATCAGTAACCTTTATTAAGTACTTTAAAAATCCACTCCTTAATTACTCTCAAATAGAAAGGAAACACTATAAAATAATTGATGACTCTTAAGTTCACTGTACTTTTCTGTACATGCATAAAAAATCACATAGCTAAACATCAAACACAAAACCTTATCAGTAGGAGAAAAAAACCTCAAGCAATGGAGAGACTATGAGTATTCTTTTTGACTTTTCACATTTCACACTAGGTGTTCAGCAAAAAGCCCAGAACCATGGCACTGTTTCTAAACCTCAGGGAATGAAGGTGAAGTGCCTGGTCAAGAGGAGATATCCAATCAGGGACCCAGTGTAATTTTCTTAAGAATTAGGGCTTCTTACTGTTGTAAGAAAACCTTGCAACCATTCCTTATGATGCTAGAATGTGGGAATTTGTGCGTACATCATTGCGTTTTATGTCCTACAGAGCACTGTGGCTAAAGAGCTCTGACATAATCGGTACGAGGAGATAATCCCAGATTTACTGGCTTGGAGAACATACTAGTATTAGAAATATTTCCTCTCTGATTTGTACGTTTGGCGGTTGAGCTGAGAAGAGAGGGAACAAATCAGCCTTGTTGACTCTATTTAATTAATAACGACCTCATGATTCATAAAGTGAACGGCTGC